TACATTTGCAAAGCACCTAGGTACACATTTTGGTAGGATTTGTTAAAAGGATTCACACATTAATCTCAAGGCCCTCTACACATTGGCAAGCCCTCATTACCAGTGTTTTTTGTATTTTTCAAAAAACTTCTCTTCCTAATGTAGGTCCCAGTGGCATTTACCTGTCTACAATTACACCTGAGTTTTCCTGGCCAAAAATTCAATGAAGAACTAAATGAGAAAAAGGCCTTGAAAGGTCATCAAGTCCTGGACCTTGCACTGAAGCAGGACCAAGTAACCCTAACCCATCCTTGACAGGTGTTTAACAAACCTGTTCTTAAAGTGAAAGGTTTAAATATCTAACTTCCTAATGCAAAATCTAAACAATAGTAGCATCTTTCAATAAACTTTTTTTTTTTAAACAGATTTGAAAAAGACCTTCACCTAATGATTGGACATAAGCTAAACTGGTACTGGAAAATTATGTGGGCTTTTGCCAGCCCTGTGCTAATTATAAGCTTGTTTGTATTTTACCTCACTGACTACATCCGCACAGGAACTCTGCAGTACCAAGCATGGGATGCCACACAGGTATTTATTTTACTTAGCATTTTGTTTGTCCCTTTGTGCTATGGGGACCCAGGATCAATCATTACATTCAAGGAATGGAGGTAGCTAGCTCTAATTGACCAGGAGAAAATTTACACAGCAGGTTTAATCTAGAATGGGGCTTTCATTTTAATGGAAAGCAGCTGCATTCCATCATCCTCCGACAAATAATAAAGCTTTCATCCAAGAATTAGAATTACTGATATTCTGAACACGTACACATTTATAAAAACAGGAATGATACTACACTGTGTGGATAGGAAATGGCATTTTCATAGGAGACCAAGAGGTTTTCAGTACTTTGAATAAAGTGCGCACATACAATTATTCATAATCTAATTCACTATCCCTAGTAGGCTTACACATATTAGGAAAAACATGTACTATCACAAAGAAAGAACAATTTGATTTTAAGCAAATATGAATTCTATTACATTCCAGGACATGTTCTCTTTGTTATTAAAAAGTAAATCAATTTTACATTTTCATATCAATGCTAATTTGCGCATCTCAAAAGGTGTGGGTTTCTGCTATTAGTTGGAGAGCAGATGATTCCAATTCAGCAAGAATGGAAACATTTCACGGAGACAGGGATCACAGCTGTGCCACGTTTAGAAGGAAAATCCTGCTATGAAAGGTTTCCAGTGTCAAATTTAGCATCTCAAAGCAAGTTAAAAACTTAAGTGCTAACTTTACTCACTATTTAATGTTAAACAGCTAGAACACATATTTACTGCACCAGCTATAGTAAGGTTTGTTGCTTGCTGTCAACTTCCAGCTGGTGAAGGGGAAACATAATGCCTAAAAGACAGCTGGTAGATTTCAGTCTCACACCATACTAGTGGTATGGACTGTAACTAAACTGTACTGTCCATCTGCCATAGCCCAGAGGACAAAAAAGTAATGATGCAAAGAAATACAAAATGCTGTGGGATGCAACCAATTCATGTCAGTAACTTTTTATAACTGGTTTAATCATTCTTTATTTCTACTGAAAGATTTCAGTGAGAACAAGGAGTAAAATATGTATTGTGCATAGCTAAACTCTGGGATTGAAATGAGTAGTATCTCCTGAAATGACAGTCCATATCAATCCTTGATATTTACATCAAGGTATAGTGACCACCGCTACACAACATCTGCTTTAACTTTGCTCTCTTACAAAGCTGTACATAAATTTAAGATCACTGCCAACCATCAAAAATTAAAGATCCAATACTTTGGGGTTATTAAAGGATCTCATTTATAAGAGTATGTTACAAAGAGGAGAGCTCTGCAGGGCTTCATGCTAATATTCTATCTTATTTGCAGGGTCAGCTGGTTACAAAAGATTATCCAAGTTATGCTCTGGCAGTTATTGGACTGCTTGTGGCTGCATCCACAATGTGTATTCCACTAGGTGCATTCATAATTTTTATTATGAAGAGACTGAAGAGAAATGTATCAACTCTTGAATGAATATTCATAACTGGATTCATGAAAACATTACCATCAGTTACAGTAATTGTGTGCATTTGGAGACCACAGCAACCATTGCCTTTACCAACTACAGGTAAAGAACCTTGGGTGATGTATTTACCATAAAGTGCTCTTGACATTTCCACAGTGGTTCAAAAAGCTCTTCTGTAGGAGATGAAGCTTTAAGAGGGTCTCTAACTGAAAGAACAGCAGTTCACAAAAAGCCTCTTAGCACAAGTTACTAAGTACTACTGTCTAAACTGCTGTTAGGCTGTAATATTTCACTTTTCAGTACTGCCTACTTAAAACAAAAAGCATCAATTACATGAAAGCACATTCTTTATATCTACAGTACTGGAAATTACTCTTCAAAATAGTATACATGTACAAGAAAGGTTTTCTTGAAGTTATATGTGTAGTTTGACTTCTCAAATTTTACTATTTGAATGTGAGTCTGCTATTTGAGAGAAAAAAATTATTAGGAGGCCAACATTTCTTAAAAGAGCTGACACAAAAGCAAAACAGGTGAAGCCCATGCAGAAGCTGTGTCAACTATTGTGTCTCTAATAGAAATAAGTATCAGGTTCCACTATGTAACTATGTACAATAGTCTGGCACTCTGTTAACCGGAAAACTTTTGTTAACCAGCATTGCCCCCAGCCACAATACCGACATGACTTCAGGTGCAAATGCCTGACTCCCGCATAGCTAGCTGGCCTTTGCGGGGCTTCTGATAGCTGGCACTGCCAGATGATGTCATCCACAGGTGCCTCCTTCCCCACTCAGCCTGCCTTGAGCTGCTGGGAACAGGATCTGCTGGTAGGGGGTGGAGGCAGAAGAATAAGCTTTGTTATTTGACACATTTAATTAACTGGTAACCCCCATTCCCCATGAGTGCTGGATAACAAAGCTTTCACTGTATTTGTTTTCTAGATAATTGCTTGCATCTTAGATAGATGCACACCTGTACACAGTAAAATGCATCTGTGATACAGTTTCACAAGCCACAATACAAAAGACTTACACCATACAACTTCAACAAGATTCACACCCACAGATGTGTATTTTGCTTTTAATCTTACGCGACATTCCAATACTTTATACACTAGAACCATTTTCCCCTGTGAGAATTTTTTCTATAACAGAATTTACTCAAAATGTGTTACATTTTAAGTTTCAATTAGATAGAGTTGTATTATTTTTGCTAAGAACTACAGAAGAGGTCACCTTGAAATGCAATGTTCAACAAAACATTTAAATGGATAAGTTCTCTAAATATACATTGAGTTATGTGAGCTTAACAGAACATGGTAGGTGTCTTGAAAAGGAAGAAGCCAGGCTCATTTTGATTGAACAGTATTACAAGATAACAAGTTGCTTACCTGGTCAGAAAAGGGCAAGAGGTGAAATTACAGTATGTACTAGGAAAAGATACTCTCTCAGCTGAGCAGCAGGAACAAAAGTAATACAGCATGTTTGTTCTGTTCAACTGCTCCATACAACAAATATAAACCCTACTAGGGGCTTTAACTGACAAAAGAGACAACTTTTCCAAGTTTGTGTTTATTAAAAATTGCCACTGTAAACAAAACCTGTACAAAAAATATCAGACTGCTTAGAATTTTGTAACGTATATATGGTACGAGAGAAGTTATCGCCTTGGTCCCCCTCTTCCTCTTCCTCTGCCACGGCCTCTACCCCGACCTCTGCCACGGCCTCTTCCTGCAACTGAGCAAGCAAACAAAACAAAGAACAAGTTAATGTTTACACCTGAATAGTTTATTTGAAATAAAGTGCAAAATTCATTATATTTTATCATACAGACTGACAATGTTGCCAAATTTCAGACACATGGAAAGCTTTCCTGCTCCCATTTCAATTTTCCTTGCACTCAATTTTTGCTTTTAAAAAAATAAAAACTATTGTACAATTTACAATTCGCTATCGATTCTGTGGTAAAAAGTCTCGGAGAAGTAATCGTGTTACTATGTAACTTTAAAAACAATGAGCAGTCCTGCGGCATCTTAGAGACTAACAAATGTATTACGTCGCAACCCACTTCATCAGAAGAGTTGAGAGTGGAAAATACAGAATCTAGGATACATAAAACAGCAAAAGAAGATTGTAGGACCATTTATACCATACCCTTCAGGAATTGTAACACACATACACCTGTAGGGGGAACATTTTAACTTCCCCAGACATTCAATAATGGATTTAAATGTAGCCATTCTTCTACAGAAGAACTGTCATCCAATTACAGAGGGAGACAGCTGTCCTGGAGATTATTTACAAGTTCAACACTATCAATTTAGGCTTGAATAAAGATCTTAACTGGTGAACACACTACAAAGGCAATTTCCCTGCTTTTGCTATTCCCATCTCCTCATCAATTGCTATGAATGAGAGACACTCCAGTTTCACTTCTGAAAACAAAGGCATATAATAAAGGCACTCCCTGAATTACAAACATCCAACTTACCAATATCAGCATACACAAACAAAAACTCACCTGCAGCCTCAAGGGAACACGCAAAAGGCACAGGTGATAGAGAGCAGTGCAAGTGCTGGCTGGAGTGGAGGACTCCAGTGGAGCAGGGGGAAGTCACAGTCAGCGGCTGGAGAGAAGTGGTGCTTTGAAAGGGAAATCACCACCATTTCTCTCCAGCTGCAAAGTCACCCCTGCTCCTCCAGATACCTCCAGCCTGCACTTGTGCAGCTCAGTACCTCTTGGTAAGGGGGGAAGGGAGAGGTTAGGTGCAGCACAGGGGGCAGGAGAGAGATGGGAGAGGCCCAGAACTCCACCTACCTCTTCATCCTCCTCTAATTAACCCTGCCTTTTCTCAAACACCAGCATTAAATGTCAAATAAAAACACTATTTCTACTATTTTTCATTGCAAATATACGGTATTTCAGATACATTGTAGGTAAAATAGGTGTTTGTGAGCTAGCCTAGGAAACAACCATTTATAACATTGTTTCTATAGGGAAATGTGTTTCAAGATCCAAGCAACAGACTTACACACAAACTTTTGGAAATCAACCAGCTTCTAAGTCAGGGACTTCCTGTATTGGCTTTCTGAAAGATATGAAAACCTGACAGATGCCCTTCCCTCTCTCTCAATAAAGATAATGATTCAGGAAGTGAGATTTAAATACACATGATTCTTCAGCCTGCAGGCTTTACATCCTATTCATAGAGCATAAAACATTTTGCCACAGCTAACAAGTTATCAAAGAAGCAGATAAAGGTAACATGTATAAGTACAGGCAGTCCCCAACTTACGAACGGGGCTCGCCCCGGAGGACACGGACTGCGGGACCTCGCAGTCCTGCCGCCCGTGTACTCCGGGGCTTTCTCCGCGTCTCCCTGGTCTGCAGCCTCTGAGGACGCCAGCAGCGGGACAGCCGTGGGGCGTCTGGGCTGCCCCGCTGCCCGAGCCCCCCCGCGGCCTGAGCCCCCCCGCGGCTTTGCAAAGCCTCGGGGAAGCCGGCAGCGGGACAGACCAGGGAGACTGGGAGCAAAGCCACGGAGGACCCAGGCAGCGGGACCATGGTGCGTCTCGGTCCGCCGCCCGCGTCTTCCTGGTCTGCTGGGGTGGGGGCGCAGCTAGTATGCTCCCCCCTTCCCCCCAGCAGACTAGGCTTTTCTCCGGACGCCTGTGGCAGAGCAGCTGGGGCGCTGCCGGTTGATCCCGCAGCGCCGCTCTGGGCGCTACTGGACCAACCCAGCAGCACCCCAGCTGCTCTGCCTCGGGCTTCCTGATTCAGCTGCTGATCAGTTTCAGCAGCAGCTGACTTGGGGACGCTTGGGG